AATGTTCGTAGCTGGGAGGAAAAGGAGTAGATGTGATGATCTGAAAAGTATTTGCTTGGTAAGTACACACCCGGGGTTTCACTTGGTTGGAAAAGTGTTGGGACTGGAGAAGGGACACTAGTGCAAACCGAACCATGAAGCAGTGCGAAGCACATCTTGTTGTCTAATCGATTTTATTCTCGTGGCGCTGCTACGGCCTTTATGATCAGTGTTCCGTGTTCTAGCGGTGCATTTGTGAGGGGACACACTCAGGTGTCCCACGTTGATCAATCAGTCTAATAAAAACTTTGAAAACAATTCTTAACTTAGTAGCACATTTTATTGTTTTTGTTTGTATGATGTCATTTTATGTCATGTTTACAAATAGTAATGCACATTATACAGATCTTTATTTTATTAATATTGAGAGGCCCACTTTTAAACTTTCAGTGTTCATTTTGGTATTTTCCAATAATTATTGTTATAGAAACAATTATAAATATCGAGTCTGATTTATCCAAAGTGTGAAATGTCAATTTTACACGTTTCTTTCCAATTCCAAGTAGCTGTAGTTAACATTTCCTTTACACCAGTGGAAAATGATTGCATCAGAAGAAAAATACATGTAAGACTAAAATGAAAACAAATTGGATGACTAAATTGTGACCAAAATAAAAATAAATTTTAGTCAAAAGACTAAAACTAAATGGTAAATGGCCTGTATTTGATATAGCGCCTTCTAGAGTCCTGGAACCCCCCAAGGTGCTTTACAACACAATCAGTCATTCACACACTGGTAGGAATGAGCTACGATGTAGCTACAGCTGCACTGGGGCTCACTGACATAGGCGAGGCTGCCATACACAGCCGCCACCAGTCCCTACGACTACCACCAGCAGGCGAGGAGGGGGTAAGTGTCTTGCTCAAGGACACAATGACAGCAACAGACTGAGCGGAGCTCAAACCTGCAACCTACCAATTACGGGGCGAGCACTTAACTCCTGTGCCACCGTCGCCCCAAACTGAATCAACATTTCTTGTCAAAATTAACACTGTCTGGATCTACTGGTTAGAGATCTACTTCATTATCATTTGAAAACATTCTCTATTGCACGGTGATCTCATTTTTGCGTTCATAAAGAAACTGAATTTAACAAAACAGGAAATAACTGTAGAACTAAGTAACAGCAGAACTTTTGAAGCTCTCATTCTAGATGATTTCAGAGATAAAAGAACAGCTTTATTTGAGCTCTCAGTGTAGATTTTAATTTGTAGTGAAACCAGAGGGAACTTTCACCAGACGACCCAAGATTTAATCAAACAGCACCATCCTCCCGAGGAAACGGTCCCACCATCTGTAAAAACTCTGAGGATAACGATAGGACAGCTCCAGCAATAACATAATTATCTTGATTATGCCTTGAAATTCAGAATGAATGCCCCCAAGAGGCATAAACCGTTTTCTCTATCAGTAAACTTGGCGATGAACTCTGGTGACCATGACCAACGAGTTCGGATAAATTCCTTTTGTTACAATGACTTAAATGGTAACACACCAAATTCTTTAAATATATCTTAGTTCTATATTTTTCTATTGGAGAAACTTTGTATTTGAACAGTGGCTGGAAGCCAGAAGGAGACAGGAAAGTTAGTTTGACATAAACCTACAAGGAGCGACTATCAGAAAGAAGGAAAGGAAAAAGGAAAATGACTTGGCTGACTTTCTTTTTTTTTAGAAAGAGAGATAAACCAGCCGGAGCACAACTCTGCTCTCATCTACTGGGTCAAGAGGCAAAATAGTGGAAGGAATTCAGATTATGAAGATAGGAAAAATTCAGCCGGTATGTGTGCGTGTGTGTGTGTGTGTGTGTGTGTGTGTGTGTGTGTGTGTGTGTGTGTGTGTGTGTGTGTGTGTGTGTGTGTACTGCATGAAGGCCTATAAGAGGTAGCTCAAAGAGAAGCGCTGACAAAGAGAGGGAGCAGGCCGTTTTCAAAGTCTTAGCAGTGTCAGTGACAGTTTGTCACAACAATATTACTGAAGCTGTTTTCCTCTGACTGAATCCTGTGTTTGCAGATGGCGCCAACAATCTCCGTCCAACAGAAAGACAAACACCAAACTCACAGGAGGAAATCTGTTAAAGAACGTAAACGTGTTAATTATCAAAGGGGATTTAATAAACCGACGGCATCACGTTTATTACGATTTCCGAGACTAAATGTTGCAGAAGTGCTGGTGGCAGCCAATATTTATCCTTCTGGCTTCTGCTGCGTAAATCCAGCAGCTCTTGTTCCTCTCTCAACACAAGAGATCAGGGCTGTTCAGAGCTCAGCTTTGACTTATTGCACAACCCCATCAGATGGAGTATAAAGCGTGGCTGAGAGCTCATACTTCCCTCAGAGGCAGGGCCGGAGATCAGAACAGGACATCTTTACACGTCACGTTACCAGAGCGTATCTCAGTGGACTTCATGATGCGTTTGTGTGTTCAAGTAAGTCCAAAGAGACCAAAGAGAGGGTTGGTAAAGTGTCTCACCGGGCAATTTTACAAGAATCATGATAAGAAAGACTTTTGAGAAGAGTCTAATCATGAAATCAAATCATGATATTTGGTTCATGAGATTGAAATGTTAATGATACTTTTAAAGAAATCTTGCAAGAAGTATGCTTGAAAATACAATGAACTCAGAATGATGCTTCAACTGTGCATGACCTGAAAGTATTCCTAAAACCCAACAAAATAAACCTTAGATTCTAAATTTCTTGGCTTTTTTATTTTAAAAATGATGAAAAGAGTATTATCACTACTGGATTTAAAATTTTAATGCCAGACTGACCTTATCTTTCTTCAAAATGAGATGGTTACAACTTGCACTTCAAATGGTTAATACATGGTAATGTACCAAAACAATATCTGAATGTTTATATTTTATGGCAGCAGATGAGATCTCACTAAGACTCGCCCACCTTGCATGGAGACAGCAGGTATGGACAGGTTTGCTTCAGTAGGCGGAGACAGTGGTGCTAGCAGGTGCTTCTGTTCTAAATAGAGATCAGTGAAGGTTCTGTAGAAGATTCTGCATGGTGCTCATGTTAGCTATGGTGTTTAGCAGTATTCTCTAACCAAGCGCTTACAAATAAATCATGTCTTCCCGTTTTTCTGTCACCGTTTATAAATTCTATCAGGATCCAAAAACGCCACACACCATTTGGAAGTTGTGGAGGCATCTTCAGTTAGTGCGAACTTCATAGACAGCAGTCTCTTTGATGAGAAACATCTTTATGTTTTATTATCACACAATCCCATTCCACCACAATGTTTAAGACGAGTTTACAGAAAATGTACTATTTAGGAGTTGTCCATTTAGCAGCTTTTTATCACGCTGTGGGCAGCACCCTGGAGCACGTAGTTATCCCTGTTTCGTCCCAGTAAGAAAGTCCCGGCTTAGATTCCCAGCTGGAGCTGTTCTGTGAGGAGTTTGCATGTTTTAAAGCATGCATGAAAAGGTCAACTGGAGACTCTAAAACAATCCCAAATGGGAGAGCGTGAACCACGAATGTGTCTTCTCAAGAACCAGGATGTACTCTAAATCTCAACCAGTAAGACACACACCATCTCGAGTGAAGACCTGCATAAAAAAACCTTTAAAGTGTTCCACATTACAGGTGTGGAACACGGAAAAACAATATTTTAATGATTATTCCTGATCATAATTGGTCACTCTGAGTTTTTCAAACAGACTGAACATGAAAATAGCTTCTGATAGAAAAAGTCTGTGATAATCTAGGATTGAAGAAGGAGAGAATGTCTCAGCTAGTAGAAGCTAACCGTTAGCACTGGCAACTGCACCACACAGCACACCTCCTTCAGGCTTGTATTATTTGTGAATGTAAAACATCGATGTTGCAAGCCAGTGATAGAGTTGTGTTGCTGTTATCCAATCTGAGGCGAGATGTCCAAATATCAGGAAACAATAGTCCAAAACCTGCCGTCTGAAGCTCAGCTGTGACGTGGCTTACTGATAGTTCCTGGAAATGGTGCACCGGTGTTTTTTGCCCCCTGAGTTTGACTTACAAGGCATTCAATCCTACTAGAGACCACTGCAAATGCATTGATTAAACAAGTGATCCACACCTTTAACTCTGTAATAATTTATAAAGAGATTTATCATTAAAAACATTGCATAACAAGCGCTGTGTTAAATAGGAAACAGCTTGTTAAAACTATGTGTTAAAGGTAAAGTAGCAGGTTTTGATTAATTTCACATGGATGATGAGTAAAGTGCCACTCAGTGAAGACAAATAACTCGCCCAACACGAGCATCAGCCCTCAATTACAGAGGTCACCCCCTGTGGTTTGCTGGTCAGAGGATCTGAAGTGAGAGCACAGCATCAAACAGGAACACCCATTTAAAACAGGATTAAACTTGTTCCCACCATTCAGTATTTAGCTGTTCTCCGCTCTGAGAGCACAACGCATGAACTTGGGCAACTTTCAGAAGTAAAGGATTAATTTGCTCGCTTTAGAATTAGTGTGCAGATCAAAGCGAGGAGATGTCAGGGGAGTATCTTAAAAACCTCTCTGCATCGACAGCAGAGATTATGGCTCGCTTTTTTACCGCTTCTATTTTCATAATGATATGGAGAGAGGGAGAGAGAGAGAGAGAGAGAGAGAGAGAGAGAGAGAGAGAGAGAGACTTGAGCTGATTATAAATAAACGTAGATTTGAACAGAACTCTCAAGACCAAAGCAAAGTTACATGTAAACAAAGAATAAGCAGAGAGGAGAGGAAAGCTCCCTGAAACAAACACAAAACGGAACTTGAGCTTATGTTTTGAAGAGGAGACATCACCCTCGAAAACTAAACGAAGCTAGGTCTTGTCACTGCTTATTTGCGACTGAAATAACCTCCTTTCTGTTGCCTCTCTGTTTGCTCAAAAGCTGCATGAGTTACGTGATGATGTGAGCAGATACCTTTAACACTTAGAAGTAAACACATATAGACAAAACATCAGTTCTCTTACCATCGCAGTCACCCAAGTGGGCCACGTTTCCGTGTTCAACATCTTGTTCGAATGGCAGTCTGGGGAGGATAACAGACACACTCATTAATCAGAGGACACGCGGGCACAACCACCGCCTCACAGCACAGATCCACTCTGATATAGGAAAAGGAGCTCAGCGTTACAGCCAGCAAGGTACCGAGGTGTGTAAACCTCCACTGGCTGCTTTCATGTTTAGATTTGAGAAATCCTTGTTTTTGTTTCAAGAAAAACGTAGGAATGTCTTTAAATTAGAAACAAGAAGTAAAGAGGCCCTTTAGCTAAGTAATGTTCCACAATAATTACCATTGTAATTCAAAGATAACCACTTATGCCTGCAGCAGAGTCCATGTTTAAGTTAATTAAAGCAGTGAATTACAAATATTTCTAGGTCAGCAGTTGCGTTTTTTATATAGATGTGCTTGCTGCAGCTAGAAAATCCTCATTTTCCAGAATTAAGTTGGACTAGATCCAAGAAAACCTTATTTTCTATATATTATGTAGCTGACAACAAGTAGGTTCTTATATAGTAATATAGTTAAGTAACTGGAGTTAATAAATGATCCATGATGCACTTTTGAAAATGTTTAACAGAAAAAAAAATAACCTTAATTCCAACCTTCCGAGAAACACACTAGTAACGGTGAGTTACTTGGAAAATGCGGCATTTTGTTTTTCTGCAACTAATTTCCCCATTTGGGCAACAAGAGAACATTGAAAAAAGACAAAACATAATAAAACGTGTGATGAAGCGAGGAAGCAGAGAGGAAATGAGAACAACTAACAGGCCAGGTGCTCCCAAAGAAAAACACAACTGCTTTTGGTTATGTCTCGTATCAAGGGAAACAGCCTCGAGCTTCGATGGACAGAATGAGTGTGTGTGTGTGTGTGTGTGTGTGTATGCGTGTGTGTGCGTGTGTGTGTGTGTGTGTGTGTGTGTGTGTACACGCGTTTGCACGTGTGCAAATCCTGAAGGCTTCTTTCAATACAAAGCCCATCTAATAAAGTTCATGTGAGTGAAGAACACGTACTAGTGTGCTGACTCAAGGAGAAAAATATGAGCATGTTTTGGAGTTCAGATTTTAGTTGCAAAACTCAATAAACACAGCAAAGACCTCACATTACAAACTCATAAAAGTTCACATGGATGGTTTTCGTCCTGATGACAGGGAGTGTGTTCAGTATGGAAACACTAAACAAGCACCTGGATAATGAAACGTCATCCGCAATTCTTAAGTGGGGTGCAAATTTTTATTTGGACTTCAATTAATCACCTTCCTTTTTTAAAAACCAAAATCATTTTAAACGCTTTTAGCCCCCTTGAGACATTTGAATAAAAATGTCAGCATTTTTATCTTAAAGGAGACCAAATGCAATTTATTTATTAGGTTATTATCTATATCTCCAATAAAGTGAATTCAGCTGTTTTATTCCCTGACAGTTTCAGTGCTTTGCAGAATGAGTTATTTCAGAGCTCTGTCACGTTAAGAAAACAAGCTGGAACTAGCCACGCCCATCCCTTTAGGTACAGGATTGTTAAAAGCAAACACTGATGGAAAATGAATGGACAGGTTTGGAGAGACCCAAAAGGCAGCAAGGAAGGTTGAAAAAGGGGAGTTTCGCGCAATATTTCCCTTTGAAGCAATCAAATTAAAAGTCTGGTGGAGGATGTTTCTGAATTTCAGGAAATAACCGCCCTTTCCGCATTTTGAAAAAATACGCATGAGAGAGAACGCCCAGTTATCCTCGTGCACGGTCTTGTAGCTGCCGGCCTTGCAGCAATTCTTCTAGCAATAATCTGATATGAATTTCTCCAAATATTGTGGTGGACTTATCTGTTGAGCAGAAAACCAGCAACAGAGGTCTCCGTGGAGCCTAACCTTCACTTTCAGCGAATGTCATCGTTGAAAAGAGTCTCCTAAAAAAACTCATTTCTCATTTTGGAGGCCTTTCTCTTCTTATCATAGACTTCGAAGATACTTTTTCTTTTGCGAATCTCCACCATTTTCAAAAGAACCCAGTGAGGAATGAAGGCGTATCACTCTACACGTAAACAGAATGCACAGGAAGTGAAAACTAACCCAGGAACGGCAGCTTTGCGTGAAAGCTTCACCAGAATGATTATGCGGACCAATGGTTCAGACGATCCACATTTCACTGACATTAAAAACAAAATAGCAACAGGGCTTCTACTGACGTAGCTAAAACACACCTGGCTTTAAGCACTACTTAATAGGCCACCTTTACTGCAGACATTTTCACTTGAAAGAGCCGTGAGTATGCAGGTGTCCTAATGAGGGCTGCATTCCACTTCTGCAGCTGTGCATGCTGGTTGTTCTGTTAAACTGCTAACGAGTTGAACAACTTGTAATTGGAATGCAGCCCCTCATTAATGCTACACCTGTGCTTTCACTCCACTTGCCTGCTGTGGACCAAACCTATCAGGTGACTAATTGGAAACACAAACTGGTATTCACACAAGTAAAAGTCAAAGTTTCAGTCTCAATTCTTGATTGTTTTTTAGTATGTTCAAACTGTACCCAGATATATATATATTTTTACGGATTTATTTATGCAAGTTTCAATTTTTTTAACACATTCATAACAGCGGGACAGAGAAACACCGACAATAGGGACAAATAAAAAAATAAAATAAAAAAATTAAAAGAATAAAACAAGCACGGCCACCACGTATAAGGAACAGCAGAGAAGAAAAAAGCAAATGGTATACATGTCAAACAACTCAGAATCCAGTGAGTCCAAACCACATTGAAGTTCGAATCCAGATATCGTTAGGAGGAGCCGTTTCATAACAGCTACGGGTAACAGGTCAGAATGATAACGGTTAAAACAACATGGTCAGGACCCAGGGCGTGGACTTTCCTTCTTAATGTGGTCTATAAAGGGCCCCCATATCTTCTTGAACTTCTCCATGGAATCAGACATAGAAAACCAACAAGAGACCATGTCCTCGAGCCACCTCTTAAAGCAGGGAGGGGAGGCAGATTTCCACTCACCCAGAATCAGACGTTTGGCAGTCACCATACTAAACATAAGGGCCTGTTGCACAGCAAAAGGAAGTGCCAAGGAGTTGCTGGAGCAGCCCAGGATCACCATAAGACAGTCAGGATACAGTTACCTATTGTAAACAATGCTATAAAAACTAAAAATACTAGTCCAAAAGGCAGTAAGCTTAGAACAGGACCAAAAAAGATCGCCAAGAGTACCGTCTACAAGTTTACATTTATCACATTTGGGGGAAACATTAGGAAAAATCTTGTTCAATTTGGTTTTGGAATAGTGCAATCTATGGACTACCTTAAATTGAATTAACTGAAGCCGGGCGTTAACAGAGCACAGTTTTATCCGGCTTAACGCTTCAGCCCATAAATCGCCAGAGATATCCAAACCAGTGTCCCTTGTCCAAGCCTCTTTAACATGGCAAGAGGAGGTTGCCGAAGAAAACAGGTTAACAAGCCGAGAGATTAAGTGTTTTGAGGTGGGAGGTTCGTTCATTATATTGTAAAAGACATGCTGTACAGGGATAATATCTAAATTTGAGAATGCTTGCTTGACATAATTCCTAATTTGTAAGTACCGAAAAAAATGACTTGTAGGGAGATTGTACTTCGTCTGAAGTTGAGCAAAGGAGGCAAAATGATTGTCAGTATAAAGATAATTTATAGCAGTTAACCCTTTAACAGGCCATTGTTTGAAAGCAGCACCCATTGTACTAGGCTTAAAGCTAGGATTATGGCAGATCGGGGCAAAGGTTGACAATTCTGGGAGGTTCAAGATTCTCTTAATTTGGTTCAATATTTTTAAGGAGGTGCAAAGAATAAAGTCATCAGATGTACTATTAATAATCGATTTTGAAAATGAAATAGCTGGTAAGGATGCTCCAGTGTGCTCGATAGCGGTGCTAAGCTCCATTTCAAGCCATTTGGGGCTGGACCCACATCCCAAAGCATCACAGACTATAGGCAGATTCCAAAAGACCCAGGCTCTAGCATTACAGGCCCAGTAATAATGTTTGAAAACTGGAAGGCCCAGACCACCCTCGTCTATGAGCTTTTGCAAGTGAGACTTCGAGATGCGGGCGGCTTGTAGGCCCAAACAAAAGGCATGATAATGGCATCCAATGCTTTGAAAAAGGAAGACCTGAGAAAAATAAGAACGTTCTGGAATAGGTACGTGAATTTAGGGAGAACAACCATTTTGATTATATTGATACGACCAATCATTGAAAGTGGGAGAAGTTTCCATTTATCTATCATACACTTGAGCTAGTCAGTTAGAACTGAATAAGTAAGCTTGAAGAGGAGTTTTGAGTTCCTAGGGACGTTAATACCCAGGTATGAAAAATGATCCTGGGAGACCTTAAACGGTAAACTAGACAGGAAATCACGGCCCAGACCAGACGACAGCGGCATAAGAACAGACTTCTTCCAATTAACGGTGAACCCTGATAGGTGGCCAAAGCTGTCAATCAATTTAAGAAGAGGAGGAAGGGAGATCTTTAAGTCTGAAAGAGCCAATATGATATCATCTGCATACAGACCGATGGTGTACTCTGACGTACCACAATTTATACCAGAGATATGGGAATTGGCTCTGATGGAACGAGGGCAAGCGTAAAGCAACTTAGCCATATTCAAAAATTTCGACCCAAAACCAAATTTGTCAAGAGTAGCAAACAAATAAGTCCATTCCACCTGATCAAAAGCCTGCTGGGCATCAAGTGAAATCACAGCAGAATTGGTCAGTGTCGTTGAGTACATTGCATTTAAGAGACATCTAGTATTTGGGAAAGAAAATCTAGTGGGGATAAAACCCGATTGATCATGATGAATTAAAGAGCCTATATGCTTATTTAACCATTTGGTTGAGACTTTAGCAATTATTTTTTGGTCTGAGTTGAGAAGACTTAGGGGACAATAGGATGAAACGTTAGTTTGGTCTCGGTCTTTTTTCAGGAGGAGACAAATATGGGCATCGTAGAAGGAATGAGGGAATGAGCCATTTACCACTGCACAATTTA